TTTTACATAAGAGGAGGGAGTAATATTTTCCTTTAAAAAACAAAATTAAAAGACCTGCATTATGATTCCCATGATAAAGTGTGTAAATACTTCTTTTCTTTCGAGTAATAGATGGTATACTTAAGGTTTAAGATTACGTTTCAGAATTGTTACATTTTTTTCTTCTTGTGCTCGAACTAAAGTCTGTCTAAATCCCAAAATATGATTAGTAAACTATACCAATTCAGACACGTGCATCAACATGCCATCTGGTGTGGTCTTCTGTCAGTAGGGCTTTAGATTTAGTTTTTCTAAAACCTCAGCAGAGATTATTGACCTAACACAGAAAAATACTAACTGCTGTTATCGTTTGGTCTCAGGTTTCTTTCAGTGCACCAAAAAACTCTTTCTGAGCGATCGGGCCACAGAACTTCAGATCAAGGAGTTTGCGCGTAAAAATGCAGCTAATGCACTGTCAGTTGCCAACATGGTCATGGGCATGGCCTCGATTCTCAGCAGCCTTAATGGGTGAGTAATTAAAGGAGTAATGGGTTTTACTTGTCAGCTGCTGGATGGGCGGCGTTTGTAAGGAGGAATCATTATGTGAATGAGTGTGGAAATGAATGATGTTGTGCATCAATAACCAAACTTTAGTCATTAAACTCAACGCAATAAAATCAATCAAAATTCCACAAAACCCAGGAATAAATCAGAAAACACAACAGAAAAAATAAAAGTAGTATTTCAGAAGCTGAGCTATAATTTAGCAAACATATAAGTGTTTTCAATTATTGTTATTATTATGGTTTTATTGTTTGTGTTTTCAAACACATCCATCCAATGTTATTAACATCCTGTGTTTAGCCCATCAAGGAAAATCATAATATTTATAACAGATTACGAGCCGCTCTAAGTTTAGTTTAAAGGCACAGTTTGCTTTCCCAACAATGGCAATCTGCTGTATATAAAAAAGAGACTTTTCTAACATTGTCAGAACTTTTGAACTTGCAGACATTTAACCCTTTTATTTAATTGTTCAACCTAACAATGACTGGCTTTGTTCAGGCACCATCACGCTGCGTGTTGGCTCGTCCTGATTGGCTACCTCCTGGATTTGGCAGATGGAGCAGTTGCCAGGCAACTCAATGCATGCTCTGCACTGGGTAAGTGGAGTGTTGTGGTCAATAGCACTTACCAAAGATAAACTTCCACTGTGGTGTTGGCAGGGCTTGCTGCACAATCTTTTTGTCTGAGCTTTTTTTTAATTTGGCCACACAAAGAGATCCAGTAAAGGGAACCTTTGCAATTGAAAACTCTGCTTATGTTTCCAACAGAAGAGTCATGAATAATTTATGCAATGTTATTTGAGATTCATCAAGTTAACTTCTTTCAAGTTATTTCTGTGCTCTAGACAAGACGAGATGAATGCATATTTAAATACTTGCATATTTACGCTTTAAGGACTATATTTGCGGCTTGTTTACAAAAGAGCCCAATGCCTTACATAGTAAAAGGGAAAGTATAAATAGCTTTGACATTGCTTCCAGTCTGCAAATTCCTCATTTCTGAGATCCCAAAATAGTTTTCAGGTGCGTCACAATACATTGTTGGCTGCACATTGCAGGGGGCTTTGTGTCTCAACAAGCCTTTTCTGCATGACTTTGCAGGTGGGTGTTGTTGTGCCCCCCACGTATTTTGTCAAATGAACAATAACTTTCTGATTAAGCAGCCTAATTCCACGGGATCATGGCCCAATTGTCTATTTTATCCTGTTGCTTTGGGTTCTCTGCATATCTGAAATTGCTAAAATTGTTGACCCTGGACTGTGGAATTCCACCTCGTTCATCTGTGCCGTGGCCCGAATCGCCTCATCCTCATCCGCTGAAAACATGCTATGTACTCCTGAGGGATAAAGAGATAAGGCAGTGGAGAATGTTGTTTATAGAATGCCTGCCTGTTGGGCTGACACTGACATTTCCACTTGAGAAATTTTTGCACATTCACCGCACGACTGTCACATGACACGGCACTGGCAAAGATCAGTGCTGAAGAGACATAATACATCTACTGTGGCTTTCACGATTAATGTGCTATGCTAATAGAAGCAGTGTGACACAAGCCTTTCTAAAGCTCATTACAGCTGTCAGCAGCAAACATGCCAAACCTTCCTTTTTCATGCTCAGGTGCAAAGCTAGATGATTTTGCTGACTTCACGACCTTTGGGATTGCGACGTCATTGCTCCTGAGAACATCTGATCTGCTCGACAACATCCTGTGCATGTGTTACGTCCTTTCTGTCTTTGTGCGCCTCTGTTTCTTCTCCAGTGGTGAGATTAAAAAGAAAATTGTAGTCTTATTTAACACTGTCCTTTTCAATTTAGTCTTCAATTTCAATCATCATTTGTGTTGTTTTTCCTCATAGGGATCCCTTTCATGTATCGTGGTCTGCCCTGTATTTACTCGTCGGCCATCTTGGCAAGTGCCTCTTTGCTGTCGGGGGGAAACATGGCATTGCTCCGAGTCATTGCAGTTGCCATGATCCTCTTCATGATCAGCCAGAACTTTTACCCTCACGACAGAGTGCTGGAGTCGCAGGCCTGGAAGAAAGTAGTCTACGCTGGAGGTAAAGTAATTAACCAGAACTGCCAAAACCGATAAATATTTTTACTCTTATTTACTTATTTATTTTTAATGAGGTTTGAGCCACTTACTGCATGTGTTTATGAATTCTAAACTAAACCACAAGGAAACATTTATTTAACTTATCCCAGTCCAAATGTGAATTTAAATCGCTTTGTGCCAAAAATTTGAATTTATATTCATTGAAGCTGCTTTTTGGAAAAATATCCTGGCTGTTCCACATTCAAATATTTTTGTGCTGTGCTAAAGATGGCATGCTGGCTAATCAGTCCATTCTGCAGATCAAAGCATCTAGTAAACACCTCGATATTAAAAAGAAGTGTTGGGGGAAAAAAACATTATTGAAGCCCAGATAATGAGTGCAACACCTTCATTTCGTGCAGACATTCAGTTTCTTTTTTGTGTTTTTGTTTTCAGGAATCATCATGTTGTTCTGCTCTTCCTTCCCTTCTGCGTGTATGTACTACCTGCTGTGGTCTGTCTCTTACATTTTGTTCCCAACATCCCTATGGAGCAGTAAAGTCTAAAAGGGATGCTGGCACGCTTAAAAACACTCCCAAACAGGTTTACCTCAGCCCGTCCAGGTGAACCAAGGCTTACAGATTGCTGCTGCGTCCTACTGCCGTGGAGGATTCAAGCTAATTCATGCATCACATGCATGCACTCTGCTTAACGTTTTTATTTTTATTTTTTTATTTTTTTTGAGATGACACCTGTGAGGGAACCTAAAATCAGTAAGAATGATGAGCAAGGCATTTTATGTTACTGGTGAGGATTAACCTTCATCCTGTCATCTATTAAACCCCCTTCTTCAGTATTAATCCAATCTTGGTCAGTATTGGGAGCACATGGCAGCAAGCACATCTACAGTATGATTCTAAATATTATTTTAAAAAATATATATATATCCAATATTTTCTTACTTCTAACTTGTTGTGGTTTATCGCAAATGACTTAATAATATTTATTTCATAGTGTTGAGTGTAGTTAAAGAATGGCTACTGAAATAGTAACAATTATGTAGGTATGTGCTCTAATCCATGAATCAAACGTAATATCTCATTGAGATTCAGAATTTCATGCCCTCTCTGTATCTATACTTTAAAACAAAGTCATTTTAATTCATCCAGTAGACCCATTTTGATTAAAATTATATTCTTTAACGTTTGTTTTTTGGATTGAGATCATTACCGTTTACGGAGAGATCTTAAATCCAGTGATAAAGGAAAATATAATTATTTAATATGATTGTAGTGTCCTTCACAATTTTGATTTGCTGTTTGAATATATGTTTTAAATAACTTACTGACCAGAACTCTTGTAAGTTAGGGGCTTTTATTTAAGCTTCAAGACGATATGATGCAATAGATTCCCTTATTTCATCAATGTGTGATTATTTTTTTATTGGGTTATTATATGCATTTGCCTCTGTTTTAAGAGGCATTATGGTTTAAATAGTGAGTAAATCCACACTGGACTGTAATGGTGATGAATTAGTGATGTCACAGCAGGTGTCTTTAGAACATCTTATGTGGCATAAGGTGAAATACTAAATCCCCAGCAGTTTTCTGCCTCATGTAGAGTGAATTTACCCTTAGAGAGGCTTCCAAACCCTTCCTGCCATCTAGTGGGTAAAATTACTGCACGTTCTGCTTCAACTTAAAGGTAAGATAATGTCAGAGTCAGTGCTGAGTTTGATCACAAGCATAGTGCAGCAGACTTTAAACCCGAAGAGGCTGGTGGAGGAAATAATGTGTGTGATGATATTGGCCAGTATATATCTGATCTGAGACAAATCACTTGTTTTGTAGATCTTATTTAGTAAGAACGCATTTTTGAAATCTCTCATTGTGTTTCACAGTGGGTGTTAGTGCCTCTCTGCATTGTGAGTAACAAATGATTATGATTGTTAGGTTTTTCTCTGCATGTATTATTGTAAGGTCTGCCTTACAATATAAAGGCGACTGCTGTTGTGATTTGTATAAATAAAATTGAATTGAAATGAGAAGATTATATAGTTTTGTACCAATTTGTTCAGAAGCCCGATGAAATGTGAGCACAGAGTAACAGTTGAACGTGTCTGTTTTCAGGCCTAAAGATAGCACTTGTGTAAATTATGATTTGTTGCACGCCCTTTAAAAAACCATCATCCTCGAGCTCACACTCAGAGGTGTCAAAGTCGGGTATGAAATCACTCGCAGTTTAGGTTCAGTGATTTTAGTTACTTAAATCAGTCTCCTGTAAGCCACAGCTTTTTGGAACTTAAGTTATCCATATTATTCTGCCTTAAAGAGCTATTTGAAGCAATGATAATCAAGTGGAGCACAATTTATAACACAAGATCTTTGTTAAGAAATAAAAAAACAAAAACAAATGTAATGTTTTCTGATTCAGTTATGATTTAAAATCACTGTAGTTCATTCTCGACATGGTTTACGATAACCAGTGTTACGATTAAAATCGACAGTGAACTGAGCGCAGATATACTTGTCATTCATTGGTGGATTCAGCTTTTCTGTTTGGGTGTTTCTGGTTTTGAAACTGTAAAGTCACAGTAATGTCTGCATGCCAAGAGCATTATAGATACAAAAACTGTACTTTGCCCAAAGATAGTGGAAAAGTTCTCAAGTATTACTAAAATCTGTGCTTTTAGATCTGTACAATTTGACAACAAGGCTGTATTAATAAAAAAAATAATACTTGGAATTATTGTCTTGATTCATTATTTTTACTGAACTGGAAATGTTAGAACTCCTGTAGTCACTTTTAACATGTCGGATTGCTATCAACGTCTCAACTAAACCCATACACGGTTATTAATAAATCGTGATTGATCTCTAATGTGAATGTTACTGACATATTTACCATACACTCACTGGACAATTTACCCTTTTGCCTTCAGAATTCTTCATGACATAGATTCAGCAAGGTGCCGGAAACATTCCTCAGAGATTCTGGTCAATATTGATATGATGGCATCACACAGTTGCTGCAGATTTTCTGGCTGCACATGTATGATGCTTTTCTGGGCCATCACGTCCCAAAGGGGTTCTACTGGTTTTAGAGTTAGTGGCCACTGGGGGCCACTAGAATACAGAGAACTCATTGTCAAGTTCAAAAACAACATTTTTGAGATGACTTGAGGTTTTCAGCATTGCAGCCATTAGAAGACAAGCACAATGTAGTCATAGAGGGATCGACATGGTTAGCAACAATACTCAGGTGGCCTTTAAATGATGCTCAGCTGGTACTAAGAAGCAAAAAGGGTTCCAAGAAAATACGCCCGACACCATTACATCACCAGCAGGCTATCGAGGTGATACAAGACACTTTAGAGGGTTTTTTTACTAACTTCTGACCCTACCATTTAAATTTTGTAGCAAAAACTGACACTTATCAAACAGGCAACAGTTTTCCATCTTTTGTTGTACACCTTTGGAGAGACTGTGTGAAATGTAGCCTCAGTTTCCTGAGCTGACAGGAGTGGCATCTGGTGTGGTCTTCTGCTGCTACAGCTCATTGACTCCAGGGTTTGGTGTATTGTGCCTTCACAGCATTCCTTGGCTTATTTATAGTTTATTTGAGTTACTGCTGTATTCTTATCATCTCAAAGCAACCTGTCCTCTGGCCTTTGTCATCAGTAAGGCATTTTCACCCCCACTGGGTATCTTTATTTTTCTAGTAAAATAGTAAAATCCTAGTAAAACACTCAAACCAGCTCATCTGGCAATCACATCATGTTTAAAGTCAAAATGTGATAGTTTCTTCTGATTCTTCTTCTGGTCTGAATTTCAGAAAGACTTTTCACCATTTCTTATATGCCTAAATTTAATGAGTTGCTACCATGTGATTAGCTGATTCAATAACTGCATCAACCAGCACCTGTTGTTGTGCCCCCAACAACAAGTATACCCAAGAAAGTGGCGGATGAGCGTAGGTCTATTCGATCAGTCCTGCCATTCTCTTATATTCAGTTATGTCAACGACCTCAGAAATATAAATCGGCGTTGTATTAGCAATGTGCAGCGAGGACTCAAACAGCTTGATGATGGCTGAAAATGCCGGTCGCTCTTTGAAGCTCCACATCCAACAGTACTTCATCAGGTCATACCTAAATACATATGGAGACATTTAGAATTCATCTGCGTTTCATCTGTTTCACAAGCAAATCAGTATCACTGTCATGGCTGCTTATCATATGAAGCTAACCAATCACAATCCTGGGTAGCCTGTCACAAAGACTTTTAAAGTTAGAGGTAAACACTGAGCCAGATTCTGCCCAGTGGCAATGAAATCTGGCTACCAGCACCTTTGAAGTTTTAAAACTTATGTTTAGAATCCAAATCAATAAATTATATATGACAAGTTAATTAGTGAGCTTTAGAGGTGCTGGTTCTTAGACAAGCCTGATAGCTTCTTGCAGCAGTTTTATATTAAACATGAAAAGACGAGTGTCAATCTTGTCATCTGAATTATTATCAAATCTGCAAACTGCATCTTTAAATCATCCTCATTGCAGGGACTTTAAATCTTAATGCAGTTTTTGTGAGTTTGAACTGACTTTGACTTTCACTATACTGTACTTAATGCATGTACATATATATACTCCATATAGATTCGTTCATACGTCCCTGTCTATTGCTTGCTTTTAGGTGAATTACACGTACAAAAGTCCACCGCAGTTCTTTGGTCTCTTCATTCGATAAGACGCCTGCAGCTTTGGAAGCACTGTTGAAGGCTCCAGCTCAGGGTATGGAGGGGATCCTGAGGTATGGGAAAAAAGCATTTTTTATTGGCTCTGTAATGTTGTTAATGGTTTGATTGTAGTAATTAGTAGATTTGGATTAAGATAAGATGGAAATGTGCTATAAAACTTTGGCAGATAAGATGACAGTACTTTACCTAAAGTGATCAGTTCATATAGTAGGATTCCAAATGACCACCTGGTGTGCAGGGGGAACAAAACAAAACACTGTGACTCATAGAAACATGATTTTTAAAGCATGTAATGCACATATAAGAGCAAAGACAAAAAATGTGAATAATAAAAAAAAAATATATATATATATATATCGTGTGTCTTTGTTTTGTTTCCTTAGCCATAACTCTGCCCTTACACGTCGCTTCTGTCGATGCTGAGCAGCATCATAATCCGCTCTGGAGCCTGCCATTTCAATGGCACCTTTGCTGCCCTTTGTCTAATTGCTGAATCCATTTTGCGTCCTTCAAATGCCACGCCCAGGCCAGATACTCGAGCCGAGAGGCCTGGGCCAATTAAGATGTTTCTGGCAGCAACATCACCATGCACCAGCCTGTGCTCTGACATCAGGTAATCCTGGAGGAGGATCCAATTACAGCTAAACATGTCAATCTTTTTGTTGCAACAGTTATTCAAGATTCAAGATAAACAACACTTTCCAGCATCTTGGGGGAAGAAATGGCAGAATGTCATCTGCTGCAGGGCGTGACATCTAAAATGAACTCGTTTTATTCCAGTTGTGTGTTGGGAACAATTGGTCTAAAAAAAGTGACTCACCAGGCCAGCTGCAATCTGTTTTGCCACCAGAAACACTGACCTCTCAGAGAAGTTTTGCGAGGGATCTGCAGTGCTTAAATTGTTCTGGAGTTAAAAATAAGTCCTTGTCATTGCACTACATTGAATAATTGAAGATTGCCTTTGCCACTGAATAGGTAGAAGGTTTGGATCACTTACATTTCTAAGTGTCCAGAGGAAGTGAAGGAGATTCCCTGGGTTGTGGGCATCTAAAACCAGGTACATGGGTAGACGTTTGGTCTGACAGTGCAGCATCTGCACCACATTTTCATGTTTACACACTGAAGCACAGAAGAGGAGCCACTCAACAAATTCTTTAGCTTCAGGCTTGCCAGAGGCATCTGTATGGAATTAAATCAATAGAATAAAAACTGGACAAGCTTAACTCCAGTGATGACCCTTGCTTTATATCAGATTTATACAGTACCTCGAAGGCACTTAACCACCACGACAGAGGAGGCTCCACCTTTCTCCTTCAGCAGACCTTTACAAATGGGGCCATAGCAACCAGTCTGCCAAAACTCTAGTCCCTCAAGAACACACTCTTCTGGGATTTCCCAGGGATCTAAAGCTGCCGGGACCTTTGGAGGACCTACAGAAGCTGTAGACAGGGATACAATCTGCTGGCCTGATACAAGGGCAAATATAAGTAAATAAGCACTTGGCATTACTATGAGACACTCAAACAGAAATATGTTAGATTTTTAAAGGATTTCACGCTGTTTTAATGAATTGACATATAGTTATTGCAGCTCCTACCATTTTTAAAATGAGGTGAAGTCCTGTGTCGTCGTTCTTTATTTTTACATAGAGCATAAAAAATCAGAGCCACCACTAACACCGTGCTCAGAGCCAACAGGGAAGGGATTATAATGAGGGCAAGTGTGCCTGATGACTCTTCATCTACAAAACAAGTTAAAGAAGCAGGTTCAGAACATTTCAAAGTCCACGCTGTTGCTTTCACCATTTCACAATTACTTTTTCACACAGGGGCAGGTTGTTTGTCATAGCTTTTTCCCCCCTTGAGAAATTACACCATCATCTAAAATCTGCATTTTGTATTTACCTCGGTAATCTTTGTCTTTGTGACAAACATGCAACAAACTAAGAAATCAGGAAGGGGTCAAATGCTCTAGCTGTCGTGTATACAAGGCAAATGAACTTCCAGCTAATAGCAATGCAATCATTATCATGTTTAAAACTTACAGGATGGACAGAGAGAGGTGTCATTGCTACATTTTGTGTCCACGTCCATTAGGAGCAGGTCGCATTTCTCAAATGTGGGAGAATCTGCAGACCGTATCAACAAAAGCAATTCAAGGGTTGCCAGCCGAGAATTTTATTCCGGTGTTGAGTAAAACTAATTAACTTTGAAGTCATTTGAAAATGAAAAAAACAAAACAAAAAACGAGCAGGGCACAGTCTAAATGTTAAAAATTAGTTTTCCTACCTGACACCAGAGGCTCTATTGTGCGGGTGAACAAACATTTACAGACCTTATAATATAAAGATTAACAGCAGTGGGAAAAAAAGAGAAAATAAATCATAATAACGCAGCTGTTATCAGCGGCTTTTCGGAATACAGGCTCGGCTCTGTGAGGGCGCTGACCGGTGAGTGGCGCTGGAAAGTTGACTGACTGTTAATTATTAGCAAAACACCAGAAACGATAACATTAACAGGAGTCATGCTCACACTTAATGCAACCAAAACAGGTTAGTCACTAAACTGTGATGAACACACACACACACACACACACACACACACACACACACACACACACACACACACACACACATCTCACAAGAAATGTGTCTCTGCTTCATCAGACAAAATATGAAAGACAAAGTAGATAACAGGTACGGGAGATAAGAAAAAGGGGTAAACCAGGTAAAAAGTAAAATTAGTGAGCTTGAATAAAATGTATATTTAAATGCGCTAACGCCGATGTTTATTTACTCTATTCATATATAATTGTTCGCATCGGATGTGTAAGATTAGTTAAAATGTAAAATCTAATAGTTTTACAAGTGAATGTTGCCAGCTGGTGCTTTGGATGACATGCCAGCCTCAGTCTGTTGGCAACCACAAGAGGGCAGACTTGCACATAAAATCAACAACCACTACTACAATTAACCGACACACAACCTTCCTAGTTCCAGATCTCCAAACGCATTTCACGGAGCTAAAGCAACCAAGTAAAATTCAGCAATCACTCAGAAGCTGTTGCACTTTGCAATAGGAATACAAAGAAATTGGGAGAAAAAAAATCCAAACCGCAGACCAAAGGTCATACACAGAGATAGGTTACCCATCTCTGGCTATCTGCAAGCATGTTCTACGTGAAAATACGCGTCCCCAAGGGGGAACTCCGCCTTGCAACGGACTGAGAACACTCACAGAACTCCCACCCTTTGTCATTCACCATTGGCGTAATATACGCGCTTTGGGAACGCCTCCCACATCTCCGATTGGACAGAACTGCCTGCCGTCATAAAAGCAACACGGAAAACGATTAAAAAAAAGTTATGGAGCGAAGCCTAATCGGATCACGTCTGTTGCATGCTGCTGCATAGTTTTCAGAATAAAAAAAAAATCAACTGTGCTTCTGGAAAAAACAGGAGAGAGCGCAGAGCGCGCGACGAGGCGCAACGAGCAGAGTTTCGGTGTTTTGAAAGGATCAGATAACCGATAACCGCTGAGTTCGGGGGAGGACCAGGTGTGTTTTCCCGTTTCTAAGGACTGCCTTGCTGATGTCACCATGGAGGAGTGCTGGCGAGTAGGACAGGTGCGCAGGGTGAAGTTACCTCAGTGGGTTCGCATTAGGAACTGTCAGTGACAGAGGAGTTTTTCAGCAGCTGATGAACCTCGTATAAACCCTTTTTTTCACGTTTTCCTGTATTTTATTTTATTTTTTAAAATAAACTATTTCCGTCAGTGTTGTCAAATGTGCTGGCGTTTCCTGAAGTCCAGAGTGGGATATATGCTATTTTTCCCACGCTTTTCTGACAGGCACTGGTGCGCGCAAACTGCTGGACTCACCGGTTCCGTCCTGCTCTGTAACAAATATCGGGGTGTAACAGTGCAGGGGAAGCTACTGTTGGTTATTAACCGCACATTGCTGTGAACTGGGGTGTGGGATCGAGACGCCCCAGCATCAGAATCAGCACTTTCCGCTTCAATGCGACACTGACGCAGCTGGTCTCACATTCCAGTCGCGGACAGGTGATGCTCGGATAAGTCAATGGAAGGATATTTGATTCTCAGGAGCAGCTGAGCAAAAAACAAGCAAGCAAACAAAAAAACAAGAGTTGTTTTCCTCGAGATGGAATACAGCACAAGGCAGCAGCATCATTAACTTCTCTAATCGGGCAATGATTTTTCCGTGCGTCATTGCGTCTTAGGTTTTGAAGCGGTTGTTGCTTTGAAGGACAATCGTTCTTGGACTTCCCCATAGGTTTTCAACATCTACCAACAATGTCCAAGACACTGAAAAAGAAGAAGCACTGGTCAAGTAAAGTGCAGGAGTGCACCGTCTCGTGGGGAGGTTCCGGGGAGCTGGTCACTGTAGCGGAGGTGCGAGGTGGCGCTGAGCTGGGAGAGTTCCCCTATCTTGGACACATAGTGTCGGAGGCGTTGGTGTGTCACGCCGGGAGGCTTCCCAGCAGTGGGGACGTTCTGCTGGAGGTTAATGGCACTCCCGTGAGCGGACTCACAAACCGAGACACGCTGGCTGTCATCCGCCACTTTCGGGAGCCAGTCCGCCTGAAGACTGTGAAACCAGGTGTGTGTCCAATGTTATTTTAAATCACTATGACATCCTTACATACGAAAATAAATCTGACACTTGTTTTTTAAAATAATCCCCCCCTGAAAATGAGAACCTGAAAATAAGAACTGTGGACTGGTGTGACTGAGATGAGGAGGTAGCCTGTGTTAAAGTGTGTATGTGTGTGTGTGTGTGTGTGTGTGTGTGTGTGTGTGTGTGTGTGTGTGTGTGCGCGTTTGGTTTATATTTGGAAGCAGACTTGCAGGTCAGCCTTGTATTTTCAGTTGGCCTAAGCATATCTAAATTGTCAATCAGCATACTTCACATTCTTTCATTCATTCATGTGGTGACTCATATTTACACAACCCCCTTACTGGAGTAAAATCCTGCCAGACAGCATTTGTAAAGGGCATGCTGTGTTTCACCATGCTTCCTCATCTTCTCCACATCTGCATGGTTCAAAGATAAGACACGAACCCCCATTAAGGTTACAGGCCTCTGCATGAACTCGCATAATACACATAATCTTCATTTTATCACTGCACAAGTGTCACATCTACACTTGTGAGCTTGTGTGTTCCATATTAAGAGACTCATAATTCATTGCATGAAGGTAAATATACACTGTTATTCAAATATTTGATACATTATGTTCAGTAGATCTGCTCATAGTGCACTTATTGGCTCTGTCTTTGTTGTTATCTTACTTACTAGCGGTAGTTTATAATTCTTCCTGTCCTGCACATACATGCTTAATCAATGCCACTGTATTATATGTGTAAAAACATACTGGATACAAACTAGCCAACTGAAGGTGTGTAAATGGAGGCATAATAGTGGCAAGGGATTTGTTAATGGTTACCTTGCCCGGTTAGACTATGTCATTTCGCTTGCGTTGTAAAGGTGAGAATAAGTCTAATTGGATCAATTACACACATGCACCTACTTCAGTTGCCAGAATGCTGCACACACTCGACTATATTTACTTTGTAGTTGGTTTCTATTACAATACATAAGTATCAATTCTAATATTCTTGGATGTACTGGTGATATATAAATTTATTGCATTACGTCAGTTCTCAACACCTACACTGTTGCAAGCATTTCTTATTGACCTTGTGTTACGTAATGCATTTTAAGTGATGTTCAAGCTGCACTTGCTCATCTCTAGGCTGCTTACCATCAGTTCCTCTGTTCCCCATGGGACCTCAATGTGTGTTTAGATCTCTGTCCCCTCATCCATGATTAATTCATGCATCATCCATTATTGATGGCCGCTGCCTGCCAGGATGACTAGTGGCTGATGACCAGATCATATGTTAGCCGACTGGCATTCTTGTAAACTTGCATTCTCACGAGATTGCAAAGTTAGGAGAAGAGAAATGCAAGTACAGAGCTGTGGATTTTGTGGTTGTTTAGGTTAGGTTTTGTCCCCTTCGGTGAAACAAATGTTATAGTACATTATTGCATGTTTACCTTGCGCTTGCAGAGCAAACAGTAAAAGAAGTTAGAAAAGGAATAAATTTTCAGGTGTCTACCTGATGGAAATTTTCCATCTTTTCTTGTTGCCTAGTTTGTCTTCACCTTATCTTCACCCCACAGCCGATTATGGCTTATCGTTACACTTTGCTATTTCCCATCACCTCTGATATTTCACCATATCTAATCTTTTATGTTCATTCTCACTTTTGCCTTGATACTTTTCTTCCTAATCTTCTTGCATCTATGCGCTCCTATTCCTACTACTAATTTAACAATCTTGCATTGCCCTTCTACTGGATCATATTAATGCTACCTTTCTGCCACGACAGTTTTGCAGCTTTAAAATCAAATAACATTTTTGTTTTTTCATCAAAGCTGAGAGTTGTTGATGTTTCGCCCCTGCCATCAAGACAGAAAACAGAAGTTTGTCTCTAGTGGTCCTCTGGCTCCTGCCCAGCCAATGCACTCAATATGCAGCTCCCATCCTGAGAGCTGAGCAAGGCAGTAACCTTGAGGGGACGATTGAGAGTAGGAAGGTAGTGACGGCCGTTACCTGTCGCAGTTTAGAGACTTGTGAGTGGGCAGGTCATTGATTAATGCTGTAAACAGACGTAGATCTGCTTGTTTTTGCCTCATGGAGCTTAATGGATGGGCCATTTACCTCCCAGGTCCTGAAGCACCTTAGTTACAAATCAAGTCTGTAACTGAAGTTGTAAAAAAAAAAAAAAAAAAAGGCTCTTGGAAATTTTTCTGTCTCCTTTTTTTTAAAGTCTCACAGATGGATAATGATGATGATAAGACCAATGTTCACTTTTTTACAGTGTCATGAAATTCTGTCTAAGGAAAGCACGTGGAAACCTTTCTGGAGGCGAGATTTAGATTGTCACATTTCAAAGTGTTAATTGTTTTCTCAGTTAACACATTTCTCTTTTAGACTTAGAAAGTCTTGTGATAAATGTGGTGTTAAAATGTACCCGTATATAAGTAATCCAAGTATAACATTACAATAAAGCGGGGGATGATTCTGCTGGACCTTTAATAAAGGTGTTAATAAAGGAAACAGAAATGAAGTCTTTTATTTTTCATGATTTTGAATATTTTTCCTTGTTCATACAACAGATGAATTAAGCTTCAGCTAGGTATCTTGAGATGCCACACGAGCCTTTTTATTGCAGAGAAGCGTTTTTTAAAAGTTCTTCATGTAAATCAAAAACACCAGTGATCTAGTCTGTTTGTTTGTCTGTGTGGGTGTGTGTGGGTGTGGGTTGGGAGAAAGGAAGTATTCAAAATATGTAATTCAGTGCAAACACACTCCACTTAATAATACGGGAGTGGTGATGTAAAATGAGCTTCCTCACGCTTGCCTATCTAAAGTACCTCGGGTATCTTGCTTGAGGATTTGAACACTAAAGGAATTCACAGGCAGAATTTAGAAGCTGTTTTTCATGTAAAAGTCCTTTTTAATGCATGTAACCCCCATTTTAACTAATGAGCCAAAAAAAGAATCCCGAAGACATTGCCATGAGCAATCCTGTAACAATAAACTTCAATAATAAAGTAGGAGATAATTTCAGTGGATTTTATTCCACCTGTTAGGCCTTTTTCCTTGGATCTTCTTACGCTGTCATAAATCACTAACCTGTGATGCTCGGTGCTTTCCAGGAGTGAGTTAATATAATGAAATGCTTTACTTTCCACTCTTAATTTGCTTTGACGACTACCTGAAAATGTGCCTTCATGCGTGTAGTTGATGCTATGGTTGTTGCAGAGCAAATGTCGAATTCAGCACCTTTACTAAGTGCACCTTATGTTTAGCGCTGCAACCAATAATTATGTTCATGAGTCAAGGTGTTATTTTTCGGCCTGTGATTATTTCTATAAACTAACTGTGATATCTTTTAAATGTGCCGTTTGATCAAAGGGACAGTTCGAAATATTCAAAAGATATTCAGTTTTCTGTTACGACACAGAAAAGAACCAAATCCTCAAATCTTAGAAGCTCATAATGTTTGGTGTTTTGTCTGTTAAAGTTATTATTAGTGTAATTCCAGCTGTTTCCATCTATTTAATGGCTTTGTAGATTGTCTTACTGTAAGACAGTCTTGACTATTTTAAATGTTCCTGATTTTGGAATCCATTGCCGAATCACTGGAGGTTTTCTAGTTGTCTTTTTTTTTCATTACATTGTTGAAAACTGGATTTCTTTACCAACGTTAGCCTCACTTGGTAATTTGCTCCTTTTTCATGTCTAAAGTAGAGACTCTCCCTTTCTTTTCTTTTTTTGTCTCACCGGTGTAAAATCGAGTTTCACATCTCACACGTGTGCCATCAGGAGTACAGCGGAGCATTAAGCGCACAGTTTGTGTTAATGTGATTCCCTCACAGGTTCAGTCAGAGCTTCGACTAAGCTGCTCTAACCCAGCTGAGACGAGCTGTCAGCGTGTGTCTGGTTCCGTGGCTCCTTCTCCCCATGGTAAATGTAACTTCGGTTCCAGTTGCTGCTTTTTTTTTTTCCTGTGCGTCTACTGTGAAGCCCAGGTTTGTCCTAGAATTTACCTTGGAAAGAAGGTGAAAGTTTTTGCATACCCAGATACTTTTAAGTGTATTAGATTTCTCTTTACAATCTGAGAGCCATAAAACACAGTCAGTGTTACAAGTGCAAAAGAAGCTTTATTGGTACCCTTAGTTTCTGTGGTCTCTGCTTCATTGGGTTTTTTCCATGCTTGTTTAAGTGTACGCATCTTTACATTTAAGTCACATCCACCCACCATGGCCTCCTACTGGCTGGAATCCCAGCTCATTCCCCAATCCAAACTTCTGCACCTTTTGCCTTTACACCAATCAGTGACATGAGATGATGGTTTGCTCAACTCCCCAGATGACAGCTCTTGCCATGAATGAAGAACATGTCTCCCTCTTCTTTTCTTCCCTCCATCCCTTAGTAGCGAAGCCCCTTCAGTTATTAGTGAAGCCCTCTCCTTCAGTAGCTCCTCCTAAGCACAACTCTGCACTATCTCACAGTCTCCTTGTTCACTTTTGCCTACATCATCTTGCATTCCTCTCCTCCTCCGTTCAATGTTAAGGGAAAACAAATGACAGAACAGGGACAGTGTAGGTTTGCATAGTAGGACTTATTTAAATTCTTTGATTTCTGCATAATTTTAAAATCTTGTAATCTTCAACAGATGTCAGATCTCTCCCCCGAGAAGTTTAGCAAACTGGGATTCGACTTCATTCTACTTTGCCAGTGCTGTTCGTAGAGCCGCATTGCAGTAATGAACTGGCCAGCAACAAAGATAGCATCTTCATATGAGCCATACCTTTCATTGGCAGGCGCCACAACTTGGCAGGCATGTTCAAAGGCAGTGGAGATGAGTGTGTGTGCTGATTCACCAAGACTGCCTCTTTCTACTCACTGAGTGGTCATGCTGCGATGTCAGCAGCAGCAGTGTCTCCAGGTTACTGCTGGTGGAAACCGGCAGTGAAGAAACATACACGAACAAACTTGCACGTTTTTTTTTCCTTTAAGACTC